ATATTGAAACCATTTCACTTTGCATAGGTTAATTAAATATTCATGGAAACAGGAAGATGGCAAGCCTATGCAAATGACTCTGTACCTTAGTGGTATAGTCTTTCATTTGGAAGCAGGGGCTTGGCTTCCATTATCCACATCAATGAATACTTAAATGAAAAATACAGAAACATTACCAGAAGCAGGTACAGGAACTGAGGACTTCCCCTTCCAGGTGAGCACACTAACCACTAAACTAGAAAGTCATTCTCCCCATGACACAGGAAATAATGAAATATGGCATACAAATAAAACTGCTCCAACAAGAGAACTTCAGACAGGTCTGTCTTGAAACCTTGCACTGTGAATATTCACCCATAACTTAAGACTTGTGTTCAAGTTCCTTGAAAAGAAAGCTATGAGTTTTAATTACCAAGGTGTGTGCTGTCCATCCTTAGTAAAAGAAGGGCATTGCCACTATTTCTTGCTCTTGCTTGCCTCCTTAATTTTTTATGCTTCTTTAGATGATCAAAGAGTTATTGTGTTGATGAATGGTGTATTTGTTCTGTACAATGTTTGTTCTGTACAGTATTTGAATGTTGCCTTTTTTGGCTGAGTTAGATAGATGGCTTATTGCCTTCTGCACTTGCTTCATAAGAATAACTTTCCCACCACTGGGAGATTGTGCTACTGAAAGGAAATATATGTTGTTGCTAACTTCATTGTATAGGGGCTTTTTCAGGATAAGGGATAAAGAGGCAGATAAGATATATTCTTGATCTTACATCTTTCTGGCCTCTAAACATGTGTTTCACACCCACCAGAAGAGAGCAAGTACACACTGGTGTTGTTATCTCTGTAAAAGTGGTAAAGATCAGCATGTGGACTCACCTCTTGCCTTTTGGCCAATGGCCTTCCCACTAATTTCCAAGAAACCTCACTATCAATCCTTGTGAGACTGCTTAGGCAGATGTGCTTAGGGAAATCCACTAGCTAGATCTTGCAGTTGAAGTGGGAAGAGGAAGGTTTAGTGTGGATTTACTGGGTTTAGGTTTCAAGGTTTTGGTAGCAGGGGGACTGCAGGGGAGGCTTCCGTGAGGACAGCAAAAGCTGCCCCCATGTTGGACAGAAACAGTTCCTGCTGGTGGCTGAGCCTGTCAGTGACATTGGTAGCACCTTTGAAATAACACATTTAAGAAAGGGTAAAAATATGCTGTACAGAAGGTGGGAGAAAAAAAGTGAAAAAATATGAGAAGGACAACTCTGCAGACACCAAGATCATTGAAGAAGGAGGAGAGGAGGTGCTCCAAGTGCCAAAATGGAGATTCCCCTTATAACCCATTGAGAAGACACAGGTTGTGTCCTTGCAGCTGATGGAGGTTATAATAGTGGAGCAGATATCCATCTGCAGCCTACTGAGGACCCCATGCAGGTGGATGTGTCCTGGAGAAAGGTGAAGCCTATGGAGAACCCATGCTGGAGAAAGCAACTGGCAGGACCTACAGCCCAAGGAAAAGACTCCATGCAGGAACAAGTTTTCAAGTAAACTTCTGCGAGATCTACACATGAGCAGTCCATTCCTGAAGGACAGTACCCTGTGAAAAGGATCCATGCTGGAGCAGTCTGTGAAGATCTGCAGCCCATGAGAAGGGCTCACACTGGAGAAGTTCCTGAAGGAATGTACATCAGGGGATACCATATCCCATTTTGCTTTCCCCTGTGCCACTTTGAGGGAGGAGATAGAAGATTGGTGGGAATGAAGCTGAACCTGGAAAGAAAGGGGACAGGTGGTTGTAGTTCTGTTCTTATTTCTCATTATCGTACTCTGATTAATTAAGAGATAAATTCAAATAATCTCACTAAGTTGAATCTGTTTTGCCCATGGCGATAATTGGTAAGTGATGTCCTTGCCCTTACCCTGACCCCAGTTTTTCACTGTATTTTCTCCCCCTGTCCTATTGAGAAAGGAGAGTGACAGAGCAACTTGTTGGTCACTTGGCCGCCAACCAAGGTCAACTCATCACAACGCGTTTTGTCTCATCTCACTTGAAATATCTACAACAGATTTGGCCTCACCTGAGATAATCTCCTGGGCTTCCCTGGCAGTCAATGGAGAGAAACAAGACTTTCTAGGCAGCAGTTCATCTCATCCTAATGTAAACATAAATACAAAGCAGATGAAACTTATCTTTTAAGTGCTTCTTGCTCTGTTGGCTGTTTAAGGCAGCCTAGAGCGTCAAGCTCAGATGTAGGTTTCTACACCATAGCTGTCAAGAATTAAGTAAGATGGCTTCTGTGTTTGACTATTTCATCGAGATCTATTTGTGGTCTGTGGTTCTGATTGCCCTGAAGACTTGAGATGATTCTGCATATACTCAGTGGCAGAAAAGTTTTGCAGAAGTAAAATACCAGTTGCTTCCATGGGGGACAATTCAGAGCAGCTGAGAGTCCCAGACTAATAGAAGAGGGCAACACTGTGTGATGATACTACCCCACATGCGACGACATCATTGGTGCATCAGCCAGTCACTGGAGTCATTATTACAAGCCCTCAGAAAAGTTAGCTCAAGTGCAGAATGACATCAATACAGTTGATGTCTCTCTTCTTCCCCTCCTTTATATACCACAGAGGTATCAGAGGCTTTAGGACCCCTCGACGGATCTCAAAGGAGCCCAGGACTTCAACCTCATTTCAAAAAGCAGCAGTTAGTGTCCTGCATACCTGTACAGTTTTGGGGCTAAGTTGTTCTGGAAACATCAGCGTTCAAGAAGAGAGAAATGCAAGGGAAACAAGTGTCTTATCCCTTCTCTGCATCTTTATATAACTTTTCTTCCTTATTTTGATCACTATCAGATTCATTTAATTAAAATAGCCTTACATCTGGCTCTAATTCCTTTTTTTCTCAGACAGTAGATCATACTTCTGCATTTTCATCAAGGCGTGAAGAATCAGGATGTACATGAGCAAGCTGATAATACCATTTCATCCAGCAACACGATGGTGCTTCCTAAAGGCATGATGCATCATTTCAGATGTGGCAAAGCTGAGTCACTGACACTCTTAAGTGACTAATCTTAACAATGCGCTTTAATTCCATAATATGTCATTGTAAAGTTTGACAGGTTTGATATGTTCATTTCAACATTCCACTATACTTTCTGTTCCCACAGTGAATCTACTCATTGGGAAGACAAACTGGAAAAAAACCAACCCAACACTTGAAAAACTAGCTAATTTGCCTTTACATTTGTCTATGGACCAAATTCTGCCCTCATCAATGGGATGCAACTTCCATTGACTTTACTATTCATATATCCAAAGGCAAAATCTGTTCCTATCTATCAATCTACCTACTATTTTATCTACTATCTGTCTGCTTAACTCTATTAATTAGTTAATGTTTGTAAAACACTCAAAAGATGTAAAGCCCTATAGAAATGCTAAGTATTATAATTATTGTTATCTGACTGCTGTATCTCTTTACCTATCTAGCTATCTACCTTCTCTATCTATTATAATAACAATAATACTTAACACTTATATAGTGTTCTTCATCTTCAAAGTACTTTACAAACATTAACTAATTAATCTAATCTAGTTATCTTGCAAACAACTCCTTTAACAAACCAGTGGTTGTTTCTGTAAAATAAAATTCTTTGCAAAATAGAAAAATTGTATTTTGGGGGAGTTATTTTGTTCAAGTTTGACTATGATAAGGCAATAAATATGTATAAAAGCAAAGGAAGAACGCGGATTAGAAAAGCTACATCACTAGAAAACATAGAGCTTGCAACAGACTATAACATGTCGTAAGCAGCTACAGACCATGAAGAGATCACCTGAAGAACTTATTACTGAATTACATGATGTCTTAGTTTTGATATATAGACTTCCTTGCTACAGAATGTGATTTGTTTTCCACTTGTTATTTACAAAGAGCCATGAAACCAGTTTCTTCTTCCGGTCTTGTTTAACATCTTTGTCGCTGACGTGGATAGTGGGATTGAGTGCGCCCTCAGCAAGTTTGCTGATGACACCAAGCTGTGTGGTTCGGTTGATCCGCTGGAGGGAAGGAATGCCATCCAGAGGGACCTTGACACGCTTGTGAGGTGGGCTGATGCCAACCTCATGAAGTTTAACCATGCCAAGTTCTACACCTGGGTCGGAGCAATCCCAGGCACAGCTACAGGCTGGGCAGAGAAGAGATTCAGAGCAGCCCTGCGGAGAAAGACTTGGAGGTGCTGGCCGATGAGAAAATGAACATGAGCCAGCTTCAGTGTGCGCTTGCAGCCGAGAAAGCAACCGTATCCTGGGCTGCATCAAAAGGAGTGTGACCAGCAGGTCGAAGGAGGTGATCCTGCCCCTTTATTCTGCTCTTGTGAGACCTCACTTGGAGCATTGTGTGCAGTTCTGGTGTCCTCAACATAAAAAGGACATGGATATGTTGGAACAAGTCCAGAGGAGGGCCACGAGGATGATCAGGGGACTGGAGCACCTCCCATATGAAGACAGGCTGAGAAAGTTGGGACTGTTCAGCCTGGAGAAGAGAAGGCTGCGTGGAGACCTCATAGCAGCCTTCCAGTATCTGAAGGGGGCCTACAGGGATGGTGGGGAGGGACTCTTCATTAGGGACTGTAGTGACAGGACAAGTGGTAATGGGTTCAAACTTAAGCAGGAGAAGTTTAGATTGGATATAAGGAGGAAATTCTTTCCTGTTAGGGTGCTGAGGCACTGGAATGGGTTTGCCAGGGAGGCTGTGAATGCTCCATCCCTGGCAGTGTTCAAGGCCAGGTTGGACGAGGCCTTGGGTAATATGGGTTAGAGCGAGGTGCCCCTGCCCATGGCAGGGGGGTTGGAACTTGATGATCTTAAGGTCCTTTCCAACCCTACCTATTCTATGATTCTATGATTAGTGTCTAACCAGAAGCAAGTACAAGGCTTTCAAATGGAACAGATCAAGTTGGATTCTCAAGTTCCAGATCTGCAAAAGTATGTAGACAAGTTGCTTTTTTCCTTACAGAAACAGTGGTGACAGTGACCCAGAATTTTCAAAGTGTTCAGAAGGTGCAGTGGGGCCAAGGGGTCCGAAAACTTTGAGACCAGGCTCCTTTGAACACAAGTGCACCTCTAAATACCTCCGTGGATCTTCATCTAGACTCACATTGCTCTTGGATAAAGACAGTTATCGCTGCGCATATTCACAGCATCCTGGAGGCATACGGTGAGATCTAAAAGCATGTGCAGGCTTTTTTGGTGCTGATATATAGGTTTAGACCTTTGTGCTTCTAGACAAATGAAGGCCGCACACTCAGATCAAGTACTGCTTGACAATTGTCCTCACTACTGAATTGCCACTTAATTGCCTGACTTGGTTTTAGACTGTACTCAAGAAGAGTCTTCTACAGAGAGGGGTAAGGAAACTTGTGTGTACCTTTTGGCATTGGGAATACAAATCAGTCCTGGCCCTGGCACACTTAAGAAATGAGGCACAGCCATAGTGAAGGACTATCCAAGCCTCATGTGGCTTACAATAACACAAGAGAGCAGAAAATGAAACAAAAACAGAAAAAAAAGATTGTTTTCTGATGAAAGAGTAAGGGTTTGCTCTTTTTTTCCTGTTTGGGGTTTTTTCTTCTTTGTCTCTTGTGGTATCTTTTTATCTGTCCTATTTATTTATCTACATCAGCAAAATGTAGCTTAGTAAGAGCTAACCTAAAAATGAGTTAGGATTCTCCACTGAGCTACTCCAACACAATTTGGCAAGCAGCGCAACTGCGACCACTCTTGGGCAGAGGCTTTTGTCTGTATTAGTTCTGCCAAAAAAACCTCATTGTTTGGCAATTTCCCAAGATCTCTTCCTCCAGCAGCTACGTTAACATAAAACATGCCCCCTCCAACTAAAAAATTATTAACTTTTATGTTTCTTTCTCAGGCCATCTTGCAGTCACAGATGAATCTTGCCAGGTACCAGTCTGAAGAACCAATATGTCCCCCATGCCACTGCAAGAGGTTTCTGAAGTTGCCTTTTGTGCAAATAGCTGTCACTGCAAGAGGTTTCTGAAGTTGCCTTTTGTGCAAATAGCTGTCATTGTGCAACAGTTATGTTTGTAAATGAGAAATGAAACAAAACAAAAAGTGTCATTAAAGGAGGTGACACCGGTCTGGATTCATACTGCACATCAATCACTTTGTCATGCGGACAAGAATGGCATATTGAGTCAGATCAATTACAGGCAAATCAGGCTTCCAATGCAATCAATGCAATAAGCATCTGTTTTTCTGTTGCAGATTCACAGAAGGTGATCTGAATGTGGTTCTTGTCAGTCAGGCAATGAGAGCCAGCTAGGTTGAAATTCAGGGATATGGGCTCAACCACACACTCCCTGATTAACCTTGTACACAAGACCTAACCTAGCCCCTACATTCATATCTTATTTTTTCCCTAGCGATGCACTGCATAAATACAGTGCTTTGATGGTCTTAAATGTTATGCCCAGTAGGGCTTGAGAAATGAAAGTGCTTAGTTAAAGCTATGGCTGCAAAGGAGAAACATGTATACAGTTAGCATCTGACAATGAGGGATACATTGAGATACGAGGTATATAGAAACCTAAAATTAAGGGTTGATGTTGGAAAAAACTGGGTCAGAAATCTGGGATACTTTGCCTAGAAAGAGTGAAGATACCATTTGAGGCTGACACAGAAGGAGGACTTTGGATTCTGTTTAGGGCAGCAGTTAAAGAACTGTAAAACTTTTGATTTTGGAAAGGGTAGATGGCGTTTACCCATCTCTCGACCCCTGTGTTCACTGTGGAGTGTCTGAACATCAGGCCCTGTGCAAATACAACTACAACTCCTCTTTCTCCCACCTCCCCTTTCTTTCTCCTTCCCCAAAGGTTCCTGAAATTCTTCTTCCCTTTCTCTCAACAAACAAAACCCCATGTACAGAAACCCAAACTTTACAGTTTGTTTGAATTCAAGGCACTTTGCAGAGGAACTGTTACTTGTACGCTCTCCTTGGTGACGCAGAGGAAGACAGAACATGTTTTTAATTGCCAAGCCAAATGGTTATGCATGGGTCCTGTCATGCTTGTGTGAACTTGTTCCTCCCCAGCCCTCCCTTTCCTCCCCACTGAGACAACCTTGCCAAAACTCTGAGAGTGGTCACAGGGAAAACACGAAGCCTTGCAGGGATTTTGGGGAGTAGACGTCAATCTGTCAGAGGTGTCACCAGAACTGGATATATCTGCTGATCTGTTACCACTTGCTAATTATGGATTCGGCAGCTAATTGTCATAAATCTCAGTAAGAGATGTGGAATGAGACAGGGCTTTCAAAACGTCATGGCCTGGATAGGTTTGCACTCGGTGAGTTGTGAAGCAGAAATGATCATCCCCATGCCAGGGTTCTGCTGCTGTGTGATGCCCCAGTGAATACCTGTATTGTTACAAGTGCCAGTTTGCTCCAAGCAGCATTTCTGACATTCTTTTGCAGACACGGTGAGCGTCCAGGACTAGAACAAACTGAATCAGTGAGGATTTTGTTTAATAAGCCCAGAGATGCTGGTAGTCACAGCCAGGCAGATGTTTTACAGGATGAAATCTTGCACCCCTCGTCAGGCTGACTTCCTGGTCCACCCTTGAGAAAGCAAAACTCTGCCAAACAGCCCTTCAGTCTCATGCATTCACCGTGCAAACCAGCAAATCAGGCACTACCTCAGCGGGGATTCAGATTGCTGCTAAAGATTGTCCTGAGGATTAACACTCTTGAGATGTGATTCAGCCCGTTAGGAGTTTGGAGTTGGAAAGAAAAAGGTTTAGTAAGTTTCATGTGGCTTTAGGTGCCCTATTCAGTTATGTCCAATTACCTACCACCTTACATTACCTGTTTTAAACCTTTCCATGCATCTTGAAAGCTACAGTTCAGGGTAGAAAGGGTAAAGCCAAGTCTTCAGCATCTCAAAGGAAACTAATTTTCTTAAATGCTGAGCACCTTCTCAGGAAATCAAGTCCCTTCAGGGTATCTGCAGTTGAACATCCAAAAATAACTACTTGAAACTTTCTGTAGTTCTGAGGATCACAGGCTTTGCACTCATGTGAACAAGTCTTCAGGTAATGGGTAGCTCCTGTAAAAAATCTGTGCAAAATCTGTGTTGTTAATAGCATGACTTGTCATTCAGAGAGAATATAGTTAAGGCTGCACGCAGAAGAAATGTCTCTCTTAACAAGTAACTCATGGGTTTCAGAAATTTTGTTCTGCTTCTATTTCCCTAGTTCTTTTCCTGTTTTCAGCCAGTTTCTGTAATGTTTTCATCTTGTCCAAGTTTTTATCTTAAACCAAGATTACCAACCACTTTTGGAAATATAAACCACTATCTGTCACGTATTCCGTTAATATCTGCCAAAATTCGCAGGTAGAAAGACACAACAGTCTATTTTAAGGTCGTTTTTTAGTAAAGCTAGCTGAAAACTCCACAGTGGAATGTTTATTTATCTTCCCAGTTGAAAAAGCTGATTCATAGTAATTCAAACATTTTTGCTGGGATGGATCAGGTTTTGATTCAGATGCGACAAACTCCAAACAGAGTACAATTAACCTCTAATGATGAGATTTCCACTGGAAACTAGACTTGCAAGATGCTGTGGTCTGATGGGAACCAGCTCCTGGGAAGCACACCAGCACATCAGGACTGTTGTCAGCAGGGAATCAGGAACCTGAAAAAGTTAAAACATTTTTGGTTAAAAGTTTTGATGTTTGCTGCTGGGTGGGAAAGGAGACAGAAAGAGGCCAGAACACCATGAGTCATTTCTTCCCTGAGCTTCCATGCCTGGCCGCCTAGCTGTCCAAGAAGTCAGGATCAATTGCTTTGTCCGGATAAACATGGGGAGTTTATTTTGAATTAAACAGAAATTTAATATTAAAATGTTGAAAACTTCTCTACAAAGAATGATTCCCCTTTACAAAGTTCCAGTGCTCTTAACAAGCCATGGCCATCAGTGATCAAGTCCATTAACTGTTCACTTAAAAATGTGTTTAGCCCTCTATCGGAAATGTAATGTTACTTTTTGGGGAGAGAATTTGCTCTGTGTATCACTAAATCTACATAGGCAAAGTTCTTTCTGACTGAATTCTGCAACCCACATCTTTATTTCTGAAGGCAAAAGCTTTTGTGTACTAAAAGCAGCCATCGTTTCCTGCAGAAGGCAGAGATGGACATCAACAGAAACCAAAAAATTAAATGAACAAATGCAAAAATTATTCCCCACAAATCCAAACTTGCTTAAAAAAAAAAAAAGGAAATTGAAGACAATAATTAGTTCCAAAACATCTGTTTTGAAATTTCTGCCACTGTGATTTTTAGGAAAAAAACTTGAAAAGGACCTAAAATGTTTTCTTTGCTTGAGAATGAGATAATTTTTAGTCCTAATTTTACCAAAAACCTCATAGGAAATGTTTTGGGGTTGACTTAAGGCAAGTCAGCTGTCCTCAGCCATACCTCCCTTTGCTTTATGGTAGTGCATTGAGTCCGTGCCAGCCCTGGAACATCAGCCTCTCCAACAGAGTTGACTGGATGACCAGTCCATTTCCACAGTGGAATGAGTCTTATGTAACAGGGTTATAAGTAGGCTCACAATCTGGACTAAACTATGAGAAAAATGACTTTAATTGGAGCATTAATCCTCCATTTAGTGCTCAACTGCTGCCTGAGTTAGGAAAAGACCAGGAAATGCAATGTGGCCCAAAGACCTTAAATCTGTTGCTTTATTCTCCTTGTTGCTCTGGGGAGGTCAAGTAAATAACACCAAACCATTACTTGACGCAGGTGGTTTCCTTCCAGCACAGTCATGTCCCTTCTCCCACTGGAGAGACGCTTCCTAGATGTGAGTGTGTGCTTTGTGTGAGAGCACGTGCAGGTGGCTGTATGCTCATGTAAATCACATCTCCTACTTGCTGACAAGTCCTGGTCCCTCTGGAGTTGGCTGGGTCCCAGCTGTACTCCAGCAAACAAACACACATCCTAAAGACCAGCACCGGGTCTTGTAGTTTCCATCTCAGGCAATCCTTTCCCTTCTTCTGCCCAGATCCAAGCTCAGCCTCTGTCACTGATGACAAATGCAGCAGCCAGGGTGAGAACAGTGTTTGGCTTAATGGTGTTTTAACACTTTGCAGATTGCTGTCCTGGGTGATTATAGAGTCTTCCGCATTTGTTTGGCTGGAAATATGGAAAATTAATTAGTAGCAGAAGGGTATAACTTTGCCAGCCATTAACTGAATTATAAGTAAGTGTTTTCTTTGTCTGGCAATATCTTACCTTGTCCTTGTGCCAAAAATATCTCATAACTTGGTATTATATTCTCTGAAGACAACCTTTTCAATGACTTTATGTGTGAGATAATGTAATACCAGTAGGAGAGG